AGGTACCCAGCTACCAACAAACACTAAGGCTAACACAGCTTTTATCATACCTTCCAAGTGTTAACACAACTTCTAGCTTGACAACTTGGGGGACTAGGGACTGCCCTACGACTCCCATTGAACCTGGAATGCTCGGTCATGATCACGCAAAAGCTTACAAGTTCCCAACCCAGAAGTCACTTCTTGACCGCGAACTTGGGGGACTATTGTTTACACCATAATCAACCGAGCATATCCAGCATCAAAGCAACTAGCACCAAGAGCATCAACACCATGACACGTGTCACCACCACAGTGACTTGTGCAAAGTCCCACATCGGAAATCTACACAAACCTCCCACTTTCACCTCCCTATAAATAGGGAATAGTATCCATGTGAAAAGGGGACTTCTTCTCTCCACTTAGAGGAGGATCCGGGTCTCAGAGCTAGGGCTGGGGACTCTCTTCTAGATCCCTGACCTGGGCATCTCACTTGTTATCTTTATATTCGGGTCCAACCCCATGTACAAATGTAATCATACACTATTATAATGAGAACATACTTCTCCGTGGACGTAGCCCATTCATTAAGGGTGAACCACGTATATCTTGTCTTCTTTACATTTATCGCTTGCCCAAGTCTTTATACACATGCTTAAGGTCCTCACCTTCATTCATCATCCATCACACCTCATCACTAAGTTGGACTCAATCTTGGCCTAACCATTTTGAGCATCAACAGTATGGAATTTGATGAGATTCGAAAAGACAAAAAAAAAGGGGAGGATGTTTAAGCTGTTAAGTATTTAATTAGTGGGCTTAGTTGGATGCTTATTTTCCCAAGTTTTGCTTTTGGCCAAATATAAAATTCTATCCAATACTTGCTTGCTTGTTTTCTTTTCTGAATTTGTGAGGGTGCAAATTAAAACTGGGGGCTATAACTAAATTATTGTGACTGGAAGTACTTTGGATTCTGGATCCCAGCTGCCCAGAGAATATAATTATATCCATATTAGGCATATCCATTTTAAAACGGAAGCACAATTGGGATAAGAGCGTATAATTATATGCACTACCAACAAAAGAAAACGACATAACTATTTAACCGAAAAAAGAGAACATATTATGTTGCTCAATACTAGCCTGGCTAAAATTTCGTTACATCTTTAAAAAAGTTGTGTGTAAGAGCGTGTAGCTCAAATGTTTGAAAGCAGTTATATATGTACTCGAGATCTTGTTTCCAAATCCCCCTTCACCAATATCAATTGTATAAGAAAAAAGAAGTTGGGTTATGAAATTTGTATGGATTTTGATTTAACTCAGGTCCTTACAAAAGCGGACTATTGTTTTTGCTTTTTCTTCAAGAACCTATTGCTATGCATTTAGTCTAGAATCAAAGTGCAATTCGTCCCCATGTATCTGAATAAAAACAAGTTCAAAGTCTGATTGAAAGCAATTTAAAAGGCCACCACTGACTTGTATCTCTCTTCATGGAAAACGAGACTTTTGGAATCACTTTTCTGCCACTGGAGGAAAAAGTGTAAGACATAGCGGCACCTTGTTTTGGCGTGGTTGGAAGCCAATGTCACTCAAACTCAAAGTTGTGCCCCACTTCTACAGAAGCACTTTCGGATTTGTGTAATTCATTCATGCATGTTTTAAATATGCCAAAACCCCATCGTAGAAAATTGGAAATCATAATTTGCGACCTGTGAGCACGCCAAATATGCTGGGTTGTCAAAGGCCCATAGACCAATTATAGCCCTAGCCAAATCTTGGGTTTTCAGTATAATATAGCCCAGTCCTATGTATACTTTAATGCTGGAGTAAGGCCCAACACAGGAGAAGAACTTTCGTGCAATGGGACCGTCCACGGTCATGGTAAGCTAGTCATGCACTGTTATGTGAGAAAGTTCTTCCAACAAATACAGCAGAGGCATCTCCGATTAATCAAGTGCTTGTGTTTGATGACTAGTTAATTTGAGTTACAAATTCATACAGGAATCAACAAGATACATAAACATCATAGACAAAGCCGATCCATTGATTTTGGAGGCCCTGTGCAAATATGGATGTTGAGGCCCTATATATACAAGTAGGAAAAAAAAAATCTATATAGAAACAGAAATTTCTGACACGGGAAGAACACATTCGAAAAGAGCTTCCCATAAAAATTTCTTTAGTCACCCTTCCAAATCATAGAGCTGATAAATTGATTTTCCAATTTCAATGCTTGGTGAATTCTCATGTGAATAAGGGAGGGAGAAAAGAACTGTGATTTTGAGGAAATGGCTAAAGCTTGGGTTTTTACAATTCAAAATTTGATGGAAGAGGGTGGTACACTAGTACTGAAGAGAAATCACTTTATTTTGATGGAGGAGAGTGAGAAAGACTTACTGAAAGAGAAAAGAATATTAGAATAGTTTTGCAGTTTGAAAGTTGAGAAGAGGAAAACACAAGTTTCAAATCATAATAAATAAATAAAATGAAGAGTTGCAGCGTGAAAGTTGGGAAAAGGAAAATAAATTAAATTAGGGCATTCACTCTCTAAGTTGTAGAATTTGTTGATAATTAATATTCAATTCAATTTTGGTTTTGGTGCCTTACATGTGGTGTTGTGGGGTGATGTTTAATATTTCATTTTTATTTTGATGTTTTAGTTAATTTAATGGGTTGACTTGGAAAAATTTGGAGGCCCCTAAATTCTGGGGATCCTGTGAGGTCGCACACCTCGCACACCCCATGGGGCGCCTCTTATCATAGATTGAGCCTTTTCCTTTGTATTTGTGAAGCCTACTCTTATTTTTTTGGTTTTAATTTCTGGAATTAATGTAAAAGAAAGTTCGAACAAAATAATCTTTATTGTGAACATGAAAATCAAGAAACTGAGACAAATTATTCAAACACTTTTTCCCCGCTGTAACTTGTACAGTGTAAAACGGGAAATCAAGAAGGAAACCCTTCACCCTTATTTTCAATCATAACCCTCCAGAATTATTCAACTGCATAATCAATCTGGTGTGAGTGTATATGTGTGTGTATATATATAGCCCCAAAAAGAGAGCAGTTTGGAAAAATAGTGCGATTAATTCCAACGTGGCAGTGGGACCGCAAACAACTTCATGAGCCCATCCTTGCAGTTCTTGCCATCCTTCCCACCACTGGCAAAGTAAGATGGCCTCCACTCAGTGAGCTCAGCCTTGAAGCCCTCACCAGTTCCCTGCGTCTCACTTGCCAACAGCTTGGCTTTGCTGAAATCGCACTTTATGTAGCTCCACAGGTTTGGGAGCTGGTACACGCTGTAACCAGAGTCGTTCTTATACTTGAACACTGCAAAATCAGATCACATAAAACAAAGTTTGAATAATTTCACATGCATTATATGATTTCATGCACGTACTAGGGTCGGGAGGGCTTAGAACAGTTACTCATGCCTCCGAAGTCCTGTATTCGAATCATCTTTCTCCTAATATCGTTTTGTTTGTATAAATTTAAAAATAAAACACTTACCCAATTGGTCCTTTATGTAGAAGGGGCTGTTTTGGAAAGCCCAATCGGTGTAGTTGAAGCCATAACGCCAGCCTTCAGAGCCTCCAACGACGAGGGTTCTGGCCTCGCTCGCTGCCAGTAGAGAGGCAGCAGCTAGAAGCAGAAGGAACCCTCGTGCATTATAACTCAAAGCCATGCTAGCTGTTTGTATCTCAAAGTATATCGCTCCTTCAATAATGTGCTAAGATACTGAAAACTTGAATATGGGAAGGAGATGAGAAAGCATGAGGGCTCATGGGGTTTATATAGGGCAAAAAAATGTGACCAGAACTGCCTCTTTGTCTTGGTTGGTGAAAATGTGAGGCCTTGGTAATGACTGAATTGCCATACTTCAAATTTTGCAGCTGGATTGTAATTTGTGTGAGGGCATGACCAGGAAACGGGAGGGTAAAAGGGTAAAATTATCGGCTGACTAATTGTTCTGGTCATCGTGAATTTGGTCATTATCCACTTAGAACAAGAATTTGATGCAGTTGATATGATTAGTAGCGCATTAGCAGTTTAAAAAGTCAGCCAAGGCAACGGAAGGTAATTGTGGGTTCGTTAACACACGAAACGGTCAACCACCGGCATTTTTACTTTATTTTGAAATTGTCTCAGTTTGCAGGCTCATGGAAAATTATATCGGCAATGCGCTTCACCCAAAGTTTGACATACTTTTTGGAACATTTTTGGGTTTGATTTTTATGTGTGTTTGGAAATAACTTGGTGATTGCATTGTGCGAAAGCTTGGTGAGTTACCATTTTCAAGATGGTGGTGGAGTTTGTTTGGTTACTGAGAAAATTTGGGAAAAGGGGGGGAAATAATAAGTTTTGAACATTTATCTGGGAAGCCCATGATGACAAACGGGCTCAATGGGCTGCCTACTTCTAGCTCATTGGACTTAAAAGTCATAGCCCAACCTTAACTTTAACCATGAGACATTCTATAGTGAGGGCATTATCCGATGACTAACCAATTTGATTCAACAGCTAACTAATTTGCCTTAATCATTGATCGCCGTGTTGTTTGAAGATCTTGATTTCAAAGCATTGCAATAAAAAGAAGGCAAATTTGAGATTTAAAAACGGAGAAATCATCACATGAAACCTGAAATTGAAGAAAAGAAGGTATCTTTAAGAGGTGAATATGTGACACTGAGAGCACAATAACTTCAGCAGCTAGCAGATGACAGATTGTTTACTGAATTGGTGGGAAATGACCATCATTATCAACCCTGAAAAAGAATATGATTTTGTTGCTTCTGCAATCATAATTGAACCAGTTATACTACTCACCTTCATTGGGTCCACACACACTTTCATTAATGCTCATAGCTGGTGGGATTTTGAAGCTGTGAGCAATGTTGTTTGCTTGCAATTGAATCTAGAAAAAAGTACGGTAGAACAGCTGCCAGACAGCAGTTTCTAGCTAAAATAATATTTTTTTTTTCTTTTCAACTAAACAAAAAACTGGGAGTGGCAATTCAAAATTCAAAGAGAAGTCTCAAAAATGCGTTTCAGTCTGCAAAGTCAATGATACCAACATCACAAATGTAAAAAAAAATGAACAAACAAAACACAACTGATAGAGGAGTTTTCAACTGCTACCATGTCCAAAAAAAACCCAACAGCTAGAACATCAAAGATTTGCAGGTTGTGGGGTTTGAGGAGATTGCTCTTCTTGCTGAAGCTCAGATCCTTGATGGGTTTGGGCTGGAGTTGAAGTTGAAACAGAGGAGCAAGACACATTAGGCCTGGAAAGTGGTGGGTTGATTCTTCCATCAATGCAAGATGAGCATTTTGTCTCTGCCCAGCTCTCCAAATCATAATGGCCATATCCCATTATGCTCCTCCCAGAGCAGAGCCTCCCAATTACAACAGCAACCACACCCAAGATTATGACCCCAACAAGAACAGCGACCACTGCACCAATGGAGCCATGGGGGGAGTGAGGGTTTGCATTTTGCTGCAGCACAAAGTCTGGTGGAGGTTGCTGATCTAATGGCATTGACATTTTAGCAAAGACCCAGAAGAGGGAAGAAGACTGGTTTTTTGCTCTTGGAGCCTTGAAATGTTCCCCAAATGCTGCAAAGTTTGGAGCTTTTTGAGTTACTCAAGACCTCAGTATGGGCTTTAGGCTATGTAGCCAATTCTAGCCAATGCATGGTTTGCTTTTGCAACTTGGTTCTTGAAAGCCTAGATTTATTCACTTGTTTGGGAGAAAAGGCCAGAACTAGAGTTATTCTCTTATGTAGTAGGCTCACTAGAGAGAGAGAGAGAGATTGTAAATTTGTAAGATTCTGTTGAAACCTTAGATATTATGAACATTCTCCATCAGCTGATTTTTTTACCCAATTGTAAAGGCCTCAGGAATCTTTTTTTTATTTTTATTTTTATTTTTTTAATTAGGGGAACCCCAGAGGCAGTAAAAAGACAAAAGCAAAGTAAAAAGTAATCCGTAAAGTTGGAATCTTGGGAGTGTTGAGCACTTTCCAAGAGACCCATTTCGAAAAAACGTCCTTGAGCTTTTTCAGTTCCTTTTTCTGTCACCCTAAGGAAGAATTCATGCTATAAAACTATAATCTCAGAAAACCAACACTTTCAAACATTTTCTTTCAATAGAAAAATTATTACACATAATTTGGAAAAGGGTTTCGTATTTTAAAAGCCTGCATGAGTTTAATAAATCTGTTATGTAAATCCACAATAACATACATTATTAATTTCATCAAATCAAATCTATTGACAACAAACAAAGTATACCAACGTAAATTAGGCTAATTAACCAAGATGTACATGTCCGTTTTCTTACAACCAAATGCGATATCCCTCCCGTATCATATCGTAGAGTTACTTAGAATATTATAAATAAAAAACCACTTTAGTATCTTGGAAATTCCAAAACCATTCTTTTGCATTTTCAAATTAATATTCTCTCAGAGGTTGACAGTCAAATTGTATATGAACCTCTAGCGCTCTACGACGCAGGTATTATGGGATGGAACCTTGACAATACCTGAGCCAATTTCCTAATCCCCATTATCGTTTAAAAGTTACATAGATCAACGGTCCATGTTGCTCCTCACTCTATATAAAATTCAGTAAATTTACAGCAGGTGGAATTCCAACTCCCACCTCTCTCTCTCTCTCTCTCTCTCTCAAAAGAAAAATTGAGAGGGAAATCAATCAGATGATGCCATGGCTGCCAATCATGACATAATCTGGTCCTCAAATCCTGCATCATATCGACATGGTTTTTTGGGTGGTGTAACCGTCGGGTGATGTTTCTATTATTTTTTTCTCTTATGATACTCTCATTTGATGACGTCATTAACTTACATGTTATAATATGAGTGAACAATGAACGTGACGGAGATAAAAAGAAAACGAAAGCGAGATGGCAACTTAGCTAATTGAAGGTGGGGCTTAAACTTGGGCCTCAATTGTTTGAATGCTACTTGTGATTTAATTGGTTGGGCCAGGCTAATTTGTTGTTAGTTTGGTGTCTTTGGGCCTTGTGACAATGAAATAAGCGTGCGATTAAAAAAGTTGACCAATCGCTGTCAAGAACCGCTTTCCTCCGACGGCTACATCGAGAATGTTAATTAGTTAAGGGAAAGATCAAGCCAGCCAACCACATTCCATTTATCGTGTGAGATTATTAACCACAAATCAACATCAATGGTTCTTAATTAATCCGCCTTGGTCCCTATGAATAGATGAAGATAAGATTTTAACCAGCCCACAGATTTCGACTGCCGATGGTGACGTACACAGGGTGACGTGGTTGCAGAATTATTCAGAGGCCTTGATTTGATTGGTATTTCCACGGTAAGAAGCTGAGAGCATGCCCACTTTGTAATATTGCTCCATAAGCAATATCCGACCGAGGCCCTGGTTGTGTGTATATTTAATGTGTGATAAAAACAGCTTTGTCTGCATTATTTCCATTTGCTTCCATCTTCCTACTGGGACTTGAAGCTGAGCTCAAGCGGTGAGTGAAGATGAATGATGGGGGAGTCTCAAGTGGACGCTCAGCAAGTGGAGGCAGATCTAGCCAGGCCCCGGCTAGCGCGAGGGCACCTGTGCCACCTCGAGGAGCTGTGATGAAGAAGATTGTTTCTGACATGGTTAAACCCTTTGCCACTTCTTCCTCCTAATCATGATCAAGCATTGCAGATTATCATGTATCTTCATGTGCTGCTCTGCTCTGCAAATATTTCTCACTCTAGCATTATGTGAAATAAACCCTAATGTAATCCCCTTATTATCATCCTGTGGAGAGCAGGTGAGGGGGGAATGTTTGATTAGGGTTGGAATTTCCGAATTTATGTAGTTAGTGTCAGTAATTAACGTTCATGACTTGTTTGTTTGGAAACTATTGGAGTTTGTGTTTGGTAATATTAAGTCCAAGGTTGTTTGCCAATGGCAATCTTCTTGATTGAATTTTGATGGTGTGATTCTGATGGTGTTGATTACATTCATCAATAGCTGAGAATGCTCAGTGTCCACACACGACCCTGGGTCGAAATCTAAATGAAGTAAGTAAATGGCTTAACTGTCATAAATTATGTTTGGTTCCTGAGAAAATTTTCTGTTTGGTTCTCGAGAAAGTTTACTGACATGAACGGTTCTTTTTAATTGGGTGCAGAAGCTAAAGTTGGAGTTTCGTTTTACCATATTCTTATTGTTTAGAAAATTAAGGACCGGAACTAATTTTTTTTGCCAATTTGCCCGTCGATGTCAAAATCTGCCATTTCCCATCCATTATACTGTCAAGTTGGTGTTTTAGTGGAGACGCAAAATGACAAAAGTAACGTCTAACTTGACGGCTGGAAGGATAGGAAGTAGCGAAGTAGCATATTTTGACATCCGGGGAAAATTGGTGAAAAAAATTACTTTGAGCCATTAATTTTCTATTAAAAAAAGATAAGGGATAAATCGAAACTTAAGTACAAATTTAGGGGCAAATCACCAATTAACCCTAAGTAAATAGATAAATACAGTAGCTGCCTGCATAGTGGGCCTAAAACATACCTGAAGAGAAAATGGGGCTGATAAAAAAAAAAGTTGGGTTTCCAATTGGACCACAGACTATTTTGGGCATGCCCAACTAAGCGTGAGAAATATTTAATTCCCAAACATTGTCTGCAATTTCCACTCTAAAGTTAGGGAGGCATATGATGAAATCATGAAAGTAGCCAGCCACCATCTTCCTAACCGTTGCCCAACGGATTTCATCCCCGGCAACCAAATTCAAATATCTGAAAAGCAAAAGAACAAAAGCAAAAGCCACATTCACACACACACACACACCTACCTTTTTCCTCAGTTTTCACAAATAAAATAGTACCACCACTATATAAATTTGGTCACTCCTATGTTCCACATTAATTTCCTAGCCTCATTTTAATCAAATTCTAGCAAATGGGTTCTTGCATTAGCAAATGCAGACCCAGAAGAAGACACATGATAGATGAACTCAATCATGTACAAGACAAGCTGGTAATCTCACAAGCTCCATCTAGATTAGCTGCTCCTCCAATTTCTGCTTCAAACAAAATCTCCCCCTCTCCTCCATCCCCTTCCAATTCCACTTCCTCTGCTTCTTCCTTCACTTGCACCACCAACACAAGCACTTCCCACACCAGCAGCTCACTAACCTCAAGCCTTTCAAGTGCTTCTTCAGTCTTGAGTTCGAAAATCGACCGGTCTTTCTCCAACGAGTTCTTGTGGTCATGTTACAAGGAAAACCCACATGTAGTTCGGATTAATTCACTCAAAGAAGCAAGCTTTTCCTCATCATCACTGCCACAGAAGCCGCTTTTGCCAGCAGCAGTGAAGAAGAAGCAGCCAAACCTGAAAAACACAAATGCGTCTGTTACACCTCAGAAGAGAGTGAGGTCAAGTTCACCAACCCCATTAACAAGACAAAAGAGCTTCCGAAAAGAGCCAGAGAGGCCGCCTATGATCTCTGCATATTCTCACCCAAGTAGAATCTTGAGGTCACCTTCTCCAAGCAGAAGGTTCAACATGGCAAACCCACCAAAAGAATCAAGCCATTCAAAGCCTAACGCGTTGAATCTCAGGCCTGCAGCAAGTTCAAATTACAGCAATTCAAGCCGGCTGCTCAGACCTTATTTGAGGAGCAGAGAAACAGAGACGCGCATTCACAGGATCAGCTCCAAAATTGATGAGGTTGCAGTTGGAGAAGCTCTAGCTGACTATATGGACTCTCTTCCAGCTGAGGACATTGACAACCCCTTAATCTCTCTCGATTGTTTTATCTTCCTCTAGTAGATTAATATTGTGAGTGTGTGTGTGGTCGTGCATATATATATTTGAAAAGGTTGTGAATTCATTCATTTTTATGATCTGCTGGATCAAATTAATTCATTTCAACTTCTGTAAATTTATTTGGTTTGCCTTTTTTTTTTTTTATCTTTTAAATTTTTTGTATCGTTACCCGATTGTTTGTTTTGATTGAAATTACGAGAAATGTTCGATGTGTTTATTGTTCAGGAAATTCGTATGAATGCATAAATAATATAAGAGATGAACTATGTAAACATGTTCAACGAGCTGTATCAAAAAAAAAAGAAAAAGAAAAAGAAAGTTCAACGGGCTTGACTTCTTTAGAATTTTGGGCTTTGATATGGGCTAAACAACAAGAAAGAAAGTTTTATTCACGAAAAAATTAAAAAACAAGGAAACCTTTGGACTTAGCTATGAGAAAGGCTCATTATTGAGGCAGATTTTGAGCCTAGCTAGATTGTTGCTCAAAGAGCTGTATACAATGGGCCAAAGAATACTCTCTCTCCGGTAGAAAATGACATTGATTTACATATCAGAGGTTTTAGGTTCAAATTCCAAATATTATAAGGATAATGATTTTCTCACTCTAATTTTATCTACTTACACTCCTTTTTAAGTTATAAAATGGAGTGTAAGTGGATAGAATTGGAGTGGGAAAATCACTACTCTATTATAATTGTCTGTATGAGAAATCCTTATTTCCTGGAGTTTAAACTATCACTTGTATTAAATGTTTTTTTTAAAACTCTTCTCTCTCTCTGTCTCTCTTGTTTTTGTTATCGGGTTTGCTTTTTTTATTTGTTGGTTTTAAATACATATATTTACAAGTCATAGTCATAGATTGCACACAAGAAAACAGCTAACAGGCTACCCATATAATGTGATGCAC